AAAAAAAAAAAACGATTCAAACAACTTTAGTCTTTTACCCCCATTTACCCCGATGTCAAGTCTAATCGTTTCAACGAAAACACTGAATCAAAAAACAGCATCAGCTGTCTACAGCTCGTTCATCACTCAGACATCCGTGCAAAAAAAAAAAACACCCACACATATCGACAGTCAGACACCTATGGCTGTCGCCATGGTTGTTGCTGATTATCGTTGAGTATTCCACTTGAACAACTTTACAGTCTTCAGCTGATCTTATCTAAAGGTACCGTTTCTGATGGTAATGAATACAGATATGAATATAGTTTGACTTCAGTTGATTGGCGATGATTCGACAATCTGAAGCCGTGTTTACCAACTGAAACTGTCATACAGCATTACATTGGCAACTGAGAATCGTCAAGCCACCGTGATGCCAAAACATTTAGCCATATTTTTGAGTCAGTGGAACGGAAAGGAAAAAATTATCACGAAACTATTTAAATAAATATAAATTGTCTTGCTCAATTTTTGTATATAAATTTCTTTTTTTGTAATAAACAACAAAGATTTATTTTGCAGTAATAAAGCATGAGCGCTTTTTTTTTGTTGGTTTGTTTTGAAAGTTATATTATTGGTAAAAGTAGAGAATAAAAAGGCAATAATTATGCAACATTTATTATATGGATGATGAGCAAATTTTTTTTTTTACGCTTTACAACAACTCAATCTGTTTGATGCACCTATTCGTTTTTATTGTATTTTATTTTTTTTACTTCCAATCAGAGATTCAGTAAATTTGTCTGCAATTTTTTTTTTGCAAATTTTTCTTTTTTTTTCTCACTTTTTAAATTGGTTGATATCAAGCCAAAAAAAAACGGGAGAAAAAGAACAACAAAATAATTAATTACAAAAATAATTGTTTTTTCTAACTTTTTTTTATTTTATATTATTACTGATGATGTATTTATTGCTTAAAGAAACCAAAAAAAAATACAAAAAAATTAAAACTTTTTAATGTAAGGGGAAGCAGGGGAAAGTTTGATACTTATTTACCGCTATCGCTGTTACCGCTCTGTTAAATTGTCAAACAAATGGTTGATACATAACCCAAAAAAAACCTTTTATTATGAATCTTTTTTTTTTCTAATAATTTCTTTTAGTTAAATTTTTTTTTATGCTGCGCTAAAAAATCATTCCTTCGTGGTTTTTTTATTTTATTTTTTTTTGCTTGGCCAAAATAGTTTTACTGAACTGTTATCGGTTAACAAAAAAGCAACGATTAAACAAAGCGGTTACAAAAAATGCTATAATTGTAATATAAAATTCTTTTTTATTACTGCTTGTCTTGGTGTTTTTTGTATAAAATGCAAAAAAAAAAACCTTTTTCTTCTTTTTAGTTTAATTTAAAAACAAAAAAAAAACCAACCAACAAAAACTTGTTGTTTTCAATTTCGCAATGATACGATTTCAACTTTGAGTGTGCAGCTTGCAATTGCCTATTTGGCTTTAGGTTTTCCCTCTGTGTAAAAAGGGTGCGGTGAGAGGGGAGAGGGGTATTGGGAAGGGGTAAGTTAAAATCTCAATTTTCTGACGTCGATGAACTTCGAGTTCTTGTTTGTTTGTTTTTTTTTTTCTTTCTTTGAACTTATGCTTAAGCTAAAAAAGTATAGACTTTTATTTTTGCTAAATATTTTTTTCTTGGACTTTTAGTCTCCATCAACCTTAGCTGAATTGTCATAGACATTTAAGGGGTTAATTGTGGAAAGAAAAGGGAAATGGGTTGCAAAGGACAAAGATGAAACTACAACCGATATGTGTGTGTGTGTATTTGTGGTGAACATGTGCCGATATGTGTGTTGAGATGTGTTGTGCCTGTGAGGTTGTAGTTTTGTGTTGTTGTGCTTTGTAAAATAGTTTTTTCAGAGGTTATAACGTCATCAATATTTTCCCACAACCATTCTTTTGGATTATCAGCTTTTTCTATTTTTTTTTTTT